AACTATTTTAATTGTATTCCTTCTATTGTTACAGGCATTGAGCATACTTTTATGTCATTAGGTGTAATTTCTTTCATGAATTTCTTATTTGTATCCTCTATCCATTTCTCTAAGTTTTGATTAAAAAAAAATGATTTGTTGTAGGTTGGTATGTTGTAACTTATAGATTCAAATTCTTCAAATGCTACATAGATTGTAAACATTTTTTCTTAACCTGTCGATTGCTTTCAATGTCTTGCCCTTTCAGAAGCTGGTGGTATTGGAAGATTATAATGCTGTGAGCCTTTCAGTATTTCCTTTGAGCTTTCTAACAGTGTTACACTAAAACAAAATAAAACACACATCCTCTAAAAAAAAAACAAAACAAACAAACAAACAAAAAAAAGGTAGACGCTGGCCCAGAGAGGCCTAGAAGCCATTGCTATTTGTCACCACTTCTATCTCCCTATGTATTCAAAGGCATCTAGAGTAGGATTATCTAGCCATCAGGTACTACTACTCTTGTTGAGATACTCTATTCAGGTGGAGCAGTGTTTCTGGAACAGTCACTGGTGTGGAATGGTGAGTCTAGATGAGATGGCCAACTGTTACATTTGACCATGTGCCTGGTGTGTCAAGATTTGGATATGTATATTGACAGGCTGATGTGCCTATAAGCCAATGTGTTTAGATTTTTTGAGGCTACTTTCCATATTGTTATCATTCTATTATGTCTGAGTTCCGAACTCAGATGAGGACTTTTCTCTGTATCTTAACTAGTCTCTGAGTCTAAGCTGATATGTCTGCTGGTCCTGCACTGAAAGAAGCTGCCAATCTCCTAGGGTGTTAGCCACACATGTGTATTCTTCCCACAGCATTTGACCAGACTAGAAGTGTGCCTGGTTCTGAAAGGTGGCCATGGACAGGGAACGAGGGAATGGGGCTCTGCGGAAATCAAGCCTTCCAAAATCGAGCAATCACCTTTAGCCTGGCTGCTTTCTCCTATGGAAATTGACTTTCTTCCACTTGAACTTTAGCTCCATCCCTACTCTTCCAACAGAGAGGAGACAGGAAGAGAACCAACTGTGTGGGTCTGTGCAGGAGTACAAGAGGTGATCAAAATATATTGAATGTTTAAATTTTTCAAAATTATTATAGTAAAAGACACATTGTCATTAATTCCCCTGACTTCAAACACATTTATCTCACCATTCCTGCCACTTTCTGAAACAGCTCTGGAATCTTCTTTCCTGTTCATTACGTAGTCTCCTCTGAAACAGTTCTAGAATCTTCTTTGATGTCTTTGTGAGGTGTGATAAAAGATACGGCAAATGCTGCTGCCGTGTACAATCCAATGGAAAAGCAGGCTCTTAATCCTTTAACACTACTATTAGAATTACTGCTAGATATTTATGTGCTCATTAGCTGGAATAACCTTTTTGAAAAAACCAAGTTTATTTGTACTCTGGGGAAATATGCCACAGAATTTCAAACATTCTAAAAAATATTCTGTGTTGGCCTTGCAGCTTCTGTTTCCTCTACTGTGTTCCCATAGCATTGTGTTGTACTTAAAGAGTGATCACAGTTTGAGTGTAATTTGACTTCACATCTCTTCCTCCTTTCTTGCTTTTGTTTTATGCACTCATGTATGCATATTAATATGCACATGTCTATATATAGACAGAATGGTGTTACATCAGAAATTATGAAGTGTCTCCGAGGAAGGAGATGGTTCTACACCCCTCTAGTAGAAACATATCTGTAGATTCTACTGTTATTCGGCATTAAAAGTATTTTTTACTTCCAAGACCTGGACTGTGGAGGAGGAGTACAAGAAATCTATGGTGAATTTTCTTCCTAAGGTCAGGATGCATGAATGACCTGAAATGATGAGTTAGATAAATGTGTGAACACTGGTGAGGAACACACATTTCAGTAGTAATTAGAAAAATATAGATAGAAGCCATAAAACTCTTCTACTCAAATTGTGCATAAACATTACTGCTAGGTAGGAGATGGGGAAGTAAGTGAATCTACTAGGTTGGTCCAAATACAGATAATGTTAGAGAAGGATCCAGTAAGACTAGCTCTTGAAAAGATGAGGTATTTAAACAGCAAAACAGGAAGAATGCAGAGTATGCCAAGAAGAGTACTATTAAAAGAGCAGAATTTCTCAGAAATTTTATCTTAATGCATATCACAAAGCACTTGTATATATCATTTTTTATTTCTAGATTATCAATCAAGATGTATTAATTTCATTATACAAATCATCAGCCCTTCTTATTTTCTGAGCATCATAAAAGCTGAGGATTAGCAGGGACCATGGGAGCACTCTAGTTAATTCATCTGGTGATGCTTGAGGCAGCTTCATGACATCCTTAAAAACTGTTGCCCTTCTAGGATTCAAAATCTCAAGGAACTAGATTCATGATTACCTAAAGTGCTTTTGTTCATCTTTGGGTAGTAAGAACCGCTGAACATGCACCCTTAGTCTAAACTTAAATCTATCCCCATCTTTGGTTCAGCTTTTTGAAACATTTCAGTGTGTACACTATGAACTACTTAAGAATTACTTTCCTTTCTATTCTATTTTCCTTTTGAAGATCAAATATTCCTGGGTTTTCTTAAATTCATATTATGAAATAATATTTAATCCTCAATATTCCAGTTAATTATTTTGTAAATACTTTGGTAAATGAAGCAGGTCCACTGTGTCATTTAGTCTTAGAACTCCTTGTATTTTTAGTTTTATTACTTCAGCAAATCAGCATATGACCTTTAATTGATACAAACAAATGCTAGCAGGTAGTCCAAGAGTTATTGCTGTATGCTGAATATACATTCTCAAAAGTATGCTGTATAAAAATGTTATATAGAAGATCTCTGGAACTTATTCATACTGCATAACTGCATTTCTATGACTATTGATTAGCAACTATTTTCCCTCCCCACCTTAAGGCGCTGGTAATCACCATTTTAGGGCTGTATTTTTTGTTTATTTGTTTGTTTTGTTTTTTGTTTTTCTTCCGGTACCGGGAATTGAACTCATGACCTTGCACTTGCCAGGCAGGCGCTTTGCCGCTGAGCTAAATCCCCAGCCCCTACCATTTTAGTTTCTATGTCTATGAATTTGATTATTTTCGATTTCTTCTATAAGTGGAGATACACAGTATATATCTGTCTGTGACTGGTAATATGATGTCTTATAAGGTAAGATTTCCTTTGTTTTGAATCTTGAGAAATATTTTATTTTAGTATGTATATATGACATTTTCTTTATCCACTCATGCTTTGGTGAATATTTACATTGTTTCCACAGCTTGGCTATGGTAAAAAATGTTGCAGTGAACATGGTACTGATAATATCTCCTTGAGATACTGACTTTAATTCTTTTAGATTTATACTGAACCTAGAAGTAGAATTTCTGAATCATGCAGTAGTTCCATGTTTAAAATATTGAGGAACCTCCATACTGTTCTGCATGTGGGTGTACCACTTCGCATTAACCCAACAGTGCACAAAGATTCCAATTTCTCCACTTACAAGATGTTTTAATAATAAGCATCCTAAAGAGTGCTAAACGATATGTCATTGTGGTTTTGATTTGCATTTCCTTAACTGAAGACATTGGACATTTTTTATATTCCTGATAACTAATTCTTTCAAGAAATATCTATACAAGTACTTAGCTCATTTTCATGAGATTATTAGTTTTGTTGATGGTTTAGCTATTAAGTTATAGGGTAAGAATGAGTAGGTAGAATTTGAGACTGTCAGTCTAACTTTTTAATCCTAGCTCAAATAAGTATCCATGATGTAGCACTGACTAATCTCTGTACAAAGCAGAATCTCATTTGACTGTCTATTCTGTTTTTGCATATTCAAATGTCCCTACTCCAACTTGATTTGTGAAAAGCTGAAGGCACTGATTATTTAAAAGGAAAAGAGTTGAGTATATAGCCAGAATAAATCAAAGTTTTTTTCTACCTAATGAATAAATTTTTGAAGTTACTGCTGAGAGAATTCAATTACGAGGATTTAATTCAGTTGTAAATTTGGAAATCATTCATTCAAGACTATTTAGTCAGCATATACTCTGTGCCATCATGATATGTTTTTATTCTGGGTGGACTCTGGCTTTGCTACCTTTACTCCACTTGTTCTAGCTTCACACAGAGCTAATTGGACATTTCCATCATGGTGGTTAAGCATAATTAATTTTTTCTAAGTATAATGCAAAGTTCTAAATGATATGACAGCAGTGTATTATGATTTAGTTAATAGCATTTCATCTATCATAGTGGTATATAAAATATTTTACAATGAATGACATCTTACAGTAAATAAGGTATATAAAGTACAATGATATTGACAATATGAAACGTAATTATATAGGAAACACAAATATTAAAGCAGGAGATAAAATTGCAAGAAGCAATTTTAGAAAGCATAATATCTCTGAGAGTTTAGTATAAGATCTTTTTTTATTATTTTAAAAGTAAAAGAACAAAAACATCTGAGATGAATACACACTTCTTAGTATGAGATCTTTTGGGGCTGAGTGATCTCAGAAGCCCCCATGCATGGCTTCTCCCATCTGGGAGGACTCATTGTATACAAGCAGAAGACCTTTCACAATATCATCATCTAACTGCAGAAAATCGAGGTGACTCACTTAATAACTCACAGTCTGGTACCTTTTTTATGTTTTCTAGTAAGTATATTTTTTGATCCTATTAAATCTTACTTAAAATATTCTTGGATGAAAAAAGCAGTACTCAAGCCGGGCTGCCCAGGTTCCTATCCCAGCTTCACCAATCTCTTGCTACTCGATTTTGAGCAAATTATTTAAAATCTTTGAGCCTCAGTTCCTGCATTCATAAAATAGGACTAATATTAGGGTCATTCTTATTGGGTTATTCTGTGTATGAAAAGTGTTAAGATTTGTACTGTTTGTCTAGCACATAGTAAGCACAATATTAAGCATATTATGTTTGATATTATACATTAATATTAAAAAAGACATAATATTAAGCCCATCAATTGAGGAATGGATTAAAAAGATGTGGTATTTTTATACAATGGAGCATTATTCGCTATAAAGAAAGATAATCTCGAGGCTTTAATAGGTAAATGATGCAACTAGAGACCATACTCATAAGTGAAATAAATCAGACCTACGTGTATAAACATCATAGTGTCTCCCTAGTGTAAGAAACTGAAAGAGTAAATGAAATCTGAAAGATAAAATAGGTATTGTGAAAGGGAAAAAAAAACTGCTAGGGAAAGAAGAAAAGAGGGGAAAAAATATACATATATATATATATATATATAGACACACACACACACACACATACAAGATAGCTAACATAATTGTACAACTAACTTTTATTGGATTGTTGTAAGGAATAGTTAATGCTTAACTTTTGACCAATTTTACGTGCTTATATCTGCTAATCTGAGCAATTATTTTGAATAAAACAATATGCAATATAACAACCATTATTGATTTCCTTTCATATTGTTTTGAAAATCAATATCATTTTTAATGTTTTTTTCTTACTATTTATTCTCTTTAAAATAAAAAAAAATGGCATCAAAAAATATACAAGGTTAAGCAAAAGAATTACTTTTGATTGACTGGGCTTCAGGAGTAGGGGAATATTCCAGTGCAACCCCCACCCCAAACACACACACACGAGGTGGTAGGGGAGAAAGAGAGAATTCAGTCTTGGTAAAGTATCTCTAAATTATCCTACTGCATTTAATCTCCATTAAATAAAATATAAACTTTCATTAATAATTTTTTTTAAAAGTAGAAAGTCACCATTAGCAACAATGAATTTTCACCCTGTGAGGGAAACACACTTTTAGAAACTGGACAACATAATTGATGAGACATCCTATCTGATTTTTGAAATAAACTGATAGGAGCTTTTAAAATTTTTTTTCACCTTTTATTTATGAATGAAAGCAGAATGGAATGTTCATTGAAGGTTCAAGTAACTGAGTTTCAATTCATTAAGATTTGTCAGGGCCACGGATATAGCTTAGTGGCTTAAGCGCCTGCTTTGCAAGTGTAAGAACATGAGTTTGATTTCCAGTACCAAAAAGAAAAAAAGAAAGAAACAAAGATTTGTCAATTTTCAGATTTACTTATAGCAGTACAATAAAATTTTAATTAACTGGAAACTAGTCCCAGTAACAGTAATCAATCAAAATTGTCTATAGATTTTTTATAGGCATTCACATTTGTATATGTTCAT